TATATGTCTAACAAAATGAGGGAACTTGGAAGATTACTTATTGAATTACGAAAACATGGCATTTCATCTATATATGAAGTTTTTGGAAATTCTTATTGGGATACTTTTATCAGTTCAGTGCAAGAACTGTGTCAATTTGAGCCAAGTTCAAATACTTTTGGAATTCCATCCCTGACCTGTAAAGTTGGCCGATTCCTCAAGAATATTGCAGAAGATATTCTTTTTTAAATATTGAAAACAGGAGAAATTGCAGAAACTTTTTTAAAGTTATATGACCTAGGGTGGACAACAGAAATATCTGCAAAAGCAATAAGAACATTACAAATGAACAAATACAATTAACCCAAGTTACTACATTTAGTTGGTGATGTTAAATCAGCAAATATATAGATAGAAGGTGTAAAGAACTAGAACTAACAAGTGATGGCTATAGAGAATATTTCCAACTTACTTTTGCACAGATAATTCTTTTCAACCATATAAGCGCTCAGGGGTGATAGTTATCAAAATCACCTATTTCAGTTTCAGGAAAGAGTTGTCTCTCTTTAATTATAACTGAATTAAATCACTCATATAAGTGATTATATTTTACGTCCATGTTAATCAATGATGAAGCTATTGAACTATATTTTAATATGGATTGTTCCCCTTTGACATTTGTTAAATCACCTGTTTCAGTGATCTAGCCTTTTTTATGTATCAGTAACTGAAAAGACAAATTGAATTTAATATTTTATAAACGTAAACCTTTGCCTTTTAATTCCAATTTTTAAAAATTACAAAATTGTTATTCTAAAATACTCATTTCATCTATGTTATGTGATATTTTACTTATTCAAGTTGCATTACAGGTCTTGTGATAAAAAAGAAGATACAGATTTCAATAAAATGTTTGAGAACAAGTATTTTAGTTTTTGAAATTGGTTAAGATTGAAGGTTGATAACTATTAGACTGGTTGGTTCACGTCTGTCATATTTGTTTTTCATAAACTGTTTGGTTATACATTAGGTTGTTAGTTTTCTCAATTAAATTGTTCATATTGTTCATGTGGGGGCCTTTTAAAGGCAACTATATGGTTTGGGTTTTTCTCATTGTTGAAGGCCGTAGAGTTGTCTGTAATTGCTTAGATCCACCTTATGTGAACTTGTTGTCTCATTTGCAATCACACCACATCTCCTTATTTTTGTAAATAATTTGTGCATGTTCAAATTGTATTTCCTACAAACACACCGTCTGATTTAGTAGTTTTGGTCAGCACTGATTCAAGCTAGGTTTAATATCTTTTTTATTAGGAACATATTATGGTATTATCAATCAGTTAGAAACTAAACAAGATCAATAATAAATCTAGTTTAATATTGTTCCTTCATTAGCAGCTTAACGCCAAAGACGACACTGCTTAATATCAGATAAGAGTCTGTGCAATAAGGACCTTTTTTGGTTCCAAGTGTTAAGTCTATTATCTAAGGATGAAAACTGTTTCAAGTTGATGCATATAACTTGTTGTTTCCTTTAAGAAGAGTTGTTAGTTATACTCAAATGACGCTGTCTGAAAAAAACTATTTCAGTGAAAGTTAACATAATTGTCTGATTTTCAACCTCAATTATGGCAAACAATTATGGTGCCTAGTATACCTAGCTAGTAATAATCATGATTATAATAATTAAAAAAAACGTGTTCTTTATGTATACTTATTGCTTCTCATATCTGCATGATCTGCATCAAGAAGAAAGAGTATTGTATTAAATAATTATTTAATAGTTTCTCTTATTCTTAAAAGAGTAATTGTTTTGATAAAACAGGAATAGTATTATATTTTATCTCATATTTACCATATGCAACAGTTTCAAGATCTTTTATTTATATATTTTAATGATTTCATTTTGGATGCAACACAGCTTCTCATTGGCTGAAAGTGTTTTGTCTATCAGCTCAAAGACGCACCTGTAAAATAGTCCGGGTGATTGGTGCAGATATAGAGCAGAATTGCTCACTTGATGAGGAAAGCATGAGACTTTGCACAGTAGTTCTTAGTTGTATACCCTTTGATTTCAGCTATGGACCCACTCAGAAAAATCCAATATGGCTACCATTTTCAAGATGGCAGAAAAACGTTATAAATATCAAGATTGTCCGCAAGGTATTCTATATAATTTCGGAAATTAAAGAAATGATTCTTTAAAAAGGTCTTCGTGTTCTTGAATTTGTTATCAATTAATTTTAAAATATAAATAAGATATTTTGGTTATTTCTAGAACGCATACATTTGAAAATATGGCTGCTTATACAAAAACAAATAGTGAAAATCAAAATGTTAATCAATATGTGACATGTTATTGTAATTGTTCTTTAATCGCTTTCAGTTTTAATGGTTAAAATGAAATAGGTTGAAGTGAGTCGATTGAACGTTGATATAGGTCGGTTAAATGTGGTGGCATATTAGGTAACTTATCTGAACTTTGAGGCAGTGCCGAGGGCACCTTGTCTCGTGTCTCTTCAATGCCACGTCTTACGTCACTTATCGGGTTTTCATCTGCCGTACCCACTATATCGTCAAATTATTCTATGTAACCAATAGGTGGTACAGTACCTTTCTTGAGGCGGATGTGATGATTGCCATCATTTAAAATGGTTAAGGGACAACGATTTTCTTTTACAACTACGTGTGAAACCAATACGCAACTAGTCATCGGGCATGGTTCTAAAATGAACACCTGGTCAGCACTTTTATTAGTTTTAATGGTAACAGTCATTTCAGAGTTTGGCGGAACTGTGATGGTTCGTTTTATGCAAACTTGCTGAATTGAAATCTCACCTCCACTGCATTTATCACTTTGTTGTTGATGGTGAGTTTGGGAGTACTCAGATTTATCACTGCGCCCAGTGTGTCTAAAATATCTACCCCAAGTATAACATCGTCTGTTAACGGCGCTTTGCACACCTCCCATTGTATATAGATATAGGAAGATGTGGTATGAGTGCCAATGAGACAACTCTCCATCCAAGTTACAATTTATAAAAGTAAACCATTATAGGTCATGGTATGGCCTTCAACACGGAGCATTGGCTCACACCGAACAGCAAGCTCTATCAATGTCGAGAGAGGTGTTCTTTATAATCTTCCCAGTAACCAGCTGTTCACCCGAACCACGTAACGTTATGGTCTCCGAATCGTCATTATCTGCTGGAATTAATTTCTCATTCACTAATGTTATCATTGCAGCAGTGTCCACAATCATGCTCACATTCTGGTTATATATAGTACCTCGTACTGCAAGGCTTTTTCCAATGGTTTGTCTGATGAAAATATCAGACGAGGACGTGGGCCTATGTTCGGTTTTGTCATGAGGTGATGTTTCATGGCCGATAGACTTGGGAGTCGAGCGTTGGCCTACTGGCCTGACCCGTTGCTGTTTAAAGACTCCGTTGTTGGGGTTGCGCTTTGATTTGCTCTGTGTCCTGGTGAGGGTGACCGTTGCCTGAAATAACTGAGATTTCTGGAGTTTGTCCGTGGAGATGCTGACCGTTGTCCTTAGGGACTTTATAATCTCTGGCTTGGTGGGGTTGTTGTTGGTCGATAGGCATTAAACTTGGATGTATTTCTATCTGGCGATCTACTGCGATTATATTGCTCAGGGGGATCTTCCACGTGTATATTGATCAGGTGATCTTCCATTGATCTGGTGATCTTCCACGATTATATTGATCAGAAGGCCCAAGGTTATATTGATCGGCCAATCCACGGTTACGCTGATTAATTGAAAGCATAACATCAGCTAGTTTTGTGACAATTTGAGTGAGATTACGCACCTCATTTTCCAAAGGACTGCTCATATTCCCTTTATCGGTCGGTGATACTGCGCCATCAGCAAAAAAGACTTGCCGATGGGCATAATTGGCACTTTTTGATCCATATATCGCCATCTGGTTGGCTATTGAGGTTTATCAATTGTTTTAACGCCTTGTTGATCGTTTCTGGGTTCCTCTCTATTACATGCCTTGTAGAATCTTTGTCTTTATATCCACAGAGGAATGTTTTGGTTCCAATCTTGTCTTATCTTCTTTCTTGCTGAAGCGCTGCTTCAATGTTTTTCTTAAGGCCTTGGAATCATCATCTGTGTTTACCTTGCGAGCGTACTCCAAGGCAACATCGGCCAGGCAATCTAGGAGCCTACACACCTTTTTCCTGTTTTCCCATTGTCGTCTACCGGCAGTCCGTTCAAATTGGTAAATGAACGCCTCCCAAGTTATGGATCCTCTTCCATTGAATATTTGCATTTTTGGGAGCTGTGGGCTTCGGCTCCGGTCCCTTGCACCGGAATTTTCTTGCCATCGGGTATATTCTCTCTCAAGAGAGGAGTCTGAAGAAGAGCTGTTGCCACGCTCTTTTGGTTTCCTCTGCCCTTTCCTGGATCGGTCAGTGGAGTCAGCTTGCTGTTGTGGCAAGCCTGTTAGAGCTCCAGGAGCTGACGAGGTAGTCATAATTGGAGTCTTAAATGTGGGAGCAGGAGGATTTGCCATTGACTCGACAAGGATGGTACTGTTAGTAGGCACTGCAGTCAGTATTGGGAAATTTGATAGGATCCACTTGCAGCCAATTGTTTCTGTAATGGTGTGCTGCTCTGAACCAAATATGATTGACTCATTGTAGGTGGTAAATGTGCGTAAGAAGACACATAAGCCATTTGCTGGTATCCTTGATCAGTACTAGAGGTTTCTAGTATGTTCTTAAATGGAGGTTGTTGTTAAATAATTTGAACTGTCTCATGCAGGGCCAAGGGCCCTGACATAGGACTTCCGACTTAAAGTGAAGACACCAAATTTGCCTTCAACAGAGTTGGTGCGGTTGATGGTTCATGCGAACTAATTGGGGAAAGACCCTAAGCAGGGAGTTTGTTATGTATTTTTTGTGTACTTGTGGTCAAATTATGGCTTAGATGATGTGTCCATTGCAGGAATTTTAACTTCTTTATTTCGCTTGTCCACTAATTCACTTACAACAGATGCCATTTGTTGGAAAGTACCCTGCTGTTCAAATGCACTTTTAAATTGAACTGTGTCTCCTTCCTCAGTTGTCAGCTTGTCCATCGGTCTCACTACAACATTGAATTTCTCATTGGTCTGACCGTCAATTCCGCCAAGCGCTTACCACTAGCCTTGTGGTCTATCCTGTCTTCAGACTGCTGAAGTTGCTGAGATATTGCTCCCATCTGTTCATTATTAATATTCATTGCCTCTTTCTGTTCAGCTTGCATCGTTATGAGACCAACACATATTTTATCAATTCGCGCTTCGCTCTGTTTATATTGCGGTTAAATTCAGCTGTTCTTTAGGCATTATATTTCCTATCTGCTAAAAGTTCTTGGTACAATTGTTAAATAGTCATTTCTGATTTGTCCTCTGTAAAAGTGTCTTCAGCTGTGGGTTTCTCCATATCCCCAAGTGATTCAGTTTCTGCCATTTCAATGTTCTTGACCTTGTTGTCCTCAATTCCTGCCATTTCACTGATATGTGTTTATACAGTTCTCAAATCACAGTATAAAATCTCAAATTGCAAAATATTGCAACCCAAGAAATAAGATAGACACTGAATAATATCTTACGGTAGATAAATCTCAAATTACAGCTTTTATGTGTGACCCAAGACAAAAAATATTGCAGCTTTTAACGAAAGCCACTACTGCAGCTTTTTATGATTGATTGATTGTTGGTTGCTTAACGTCCAGTGGCAAATATTTCATGCATATTCAGGACGAGAACAAGTTAACAATAAATACAATAGGTAGGTTCTGTAGTAGGGGCTTCCGGGATTAAGGTCGGAGAAATTTAGACTGCCACGGAAAATGAGGGTATATTGGATAGGGACAGAAATTTAGCCTTGCAACAGGTCACCTACGGACCCCTCAAAGAGTTGTTGCAAGGGTTCTTAACGTGCAAAGAGCATGGCACTCTCTTTACACGAGGCATCGGATTTAACGTCCCCATTCTGACCGGACGTGGCTGCAAATTTGTACATCCCGCACAGCCAAACGGACGCCCCACTTTAGCAAGGGTTTTACTGCCGGTCGGAGGAAGACCAATGGTGACCATACTTCTATTCCCCAGTCACCCTTGGGGATGCAGCTTTTTATGAAAGCTATTACTTTGTATATGAAATGACAAGCCAGGCAAAATCAAAAGGACACACCTTGAACAGAGACTAAATGACACTATACTTTAATAAAATGATTAAATTCAGGTCAATTCTCAATAATGAATATTTGCTTATTTTTCAAGGCGGCCATTTTGAAAATAGCCGCCATTTTGAATTTCAAAGATAGATCAAAACAAAATCTTGCTAAGTACACCAAATCATTCAAATATGTTGAATTTTGTGCTTCCAGCATCAAATCAACTGTGGTTTGAGCAATACTGGAAAATATTTTAGGATGTATGGGGGCCATCTTGAAATAAACCGCCATATTAAATGTTGAGGGTGGGTCCATAGCTAATATTGCTCAGTACACAAAAATGTACCATCATGCAAAATTTGGTGCTTTCCTCATTATTTGAACAATTTTTTCACCGATCAGCTGGACTAAAAGTGGGATCTAACTGCAAAAACTTGAACCGATAATTGGGCATGTTGGAAGAAGCAAGAATTCATCTAAGGTCTTTGTTCATACAGTCGAGTCCAGACCTTATGTTTAATTCATTGCAAAATGTTTGAATTCGTGATTTATGTTTTGATTCTATATAACTCTACGAAAGAATAACTGTCACAAAGCATACCATGAGAAATGAAGTCAGTAATGTGTTTAGATAATTGTTTTCCATGACAGAAGTGTGAGGTTATTATAACTTTACAGTTGCCTGTTGGTAACTTGACATTACAAAATCTGAAACTAACTCACTTGCTCTAAATGAATTTAAAAAAGTAAATCTTTAATTTTTTCAAAGAAACTTTTAATTTTGACTACAGCATTTCAACAGTCATGACATTATAAAGCAGTTACATAACCACATTTAGAAACAATAAATGGTAACTTTGACCATAATCATAAAAAAAAGATTACAAAATGTTTCCCAACCTCACCACACACATTTAAAGTAACAAATTTATCAAATTTAATCCAAACACAAATTTATTAACAGTTTATCTGTTTGACTAAACCAATTTTATGTGGGCCAGCATTAGAATTGACCTATTTTAAGATTGAAAAATATTAATGAAAATCTGGAAACTAATATGTAATATGTTTGATTTAAATGAGACTCAAACTTTACATTGACTAGAAATGTAACTGTGATAACTGTTAACCATTAAAAAAATATCCTTTTTGCTCCCTTAATCATGTTAATCATGTGTATGTCATAATCATGATAATGTCAACAAATACATACTGAGTCAACATGAACTCATTTCAACAATTTAAAACATGTTTCACCTTCAGCATGTTCATTACCCCAAAAACAAATATACACAAACACACAGTAAAAAATATCATAAAAGCAAATATCAATTTCCTATATCATCATCAAAACCAATACAAATGCTTAAAAATAAAATCTAACATAAATCAAGATAATTTAACCAAATCAGTATTCTTTCCTTAAACTGATAAACGCCATTATCATTATAATTATCATGAGTATGACTTAAACATTGGTCCCAACAAACTCTAAACAACGACAAAAAACTTAAGTGGTCTGGATGGGTAGGAAGTTCCTAATCCACTCCTCATTTTGCTACAAAGAAACAAACAAATAGACCATAGTGACACACATCTGCTACCCCCAATTTTCAATGAGCATCAAATTTCCCACATCCATGACAACCTGAGGAAGCATTTGTTAAGTTTAAAACATATTTTCTAAAATAAGTCTCAAAACCAAAAGTATATCAAAATATATCATATATGTCTTTATTTCAAAATCATTTGATTTTTTTCCCAATTACCCGATATGTTCAGGTGCCAATCTTACAACAGAACGCAAAGTTATTTTCGGAAACCTAACAGATAGAATCACAAAGTGATAGTAAAATGCCCTCAAAATTTAGACATAAGAACATAAAAAAATAAAACAATACAATACTGTTCAAAGACTTATGTTCATGAAGACATATTCAATAAAAATCAACATTATAAAAGTTCTCATTGCTCATGTTGCATAAAACTAAGCACATAATAAAAAGGTGCATCATTATTAAAAAAAAACATAAATTTTTATCAAAACAGTCAGGTATTTTCTGTGTAAACTTTGTAAAAACCAGCATAAAATTTACATCATAACCACAAAAAATACACATAAAAATAAAATTATATGACACTCAGCGGAAACATAAGTTCATATCAAAACAATACAAAGTGTCTATTCTGTAAACATCAGCCTATACTTTGCATCATAACCACAAAAATTGCAATTTTGTGTTGTTTTGAATGTTCCTTTAAATATTACTGTCAAGTGACTAAAATGGATACTTTCTATTTGAATATCAGGTAATATGTCTATTAAATAAATGATTTAGTCTATAGGAAAGCTATTCTTACTCAATATTACTTGATAAGATATTAACTCAAGAATGTGAACTCATAAATTAAACTTGAAACCAAAAAAGAGATTAATACTCATGCTTTCCACTGAACATGAAAGATGTTTAACTTGTAAAATAATCCAAAATGGAATGATAAATCAATTCAAGTACTACTGTATGTAACTAATGTAAATTTACAAGGCTGAATCAAACACCTGAAATTGTGGTTACCTGGATCTGTTCAAAATTATTAAACATTCCATGTTTTGTCACTATAAGCATGATTAGTAAACCATTATTATTGAAAGTTGAATGTCCGATAAACATGATGAAAGGATTGATTGATTGATTGTTAATTGCTTAACGTCCAGTGGCAAATATTTCATGCATATTCAGGACGAGAACAAATTAACAATAAATACAATAAGTAGGTTCTGTAATGTAGGCCATCCGGGAAGAAGGTCGGGGAAATTTAGACTGCCACTGGAAAATGAGGGTAAATTGGATAGGGACAGCAATTTTGCCTTGCAATAGGTCACCTACGGACCCCTCAAAGAGTTGTTGCAAGGGTTCTTAACGTGCCGAGAGCGTGGCATTCTCTCTACACGAGGCATCGGATTTAACGTCCCCATTCTGACCGGACGTGGCTGCGTACTTGTACATCCCGCACAGCCAAACGGACGCCCCACTTTGGCGAGGGTTTTACCGCCGGTCGGAGGAAGACCAATGTGACCATATTTCTATTCCCCAGTCACCCTTGGGGGTCATGATGAAAGGATAGGAATCGATTTGGCAATTTTTCATTTTCAAAATAAATCAACTGAACAAATAAAGTACATCATACAAAATTGTTTTAAAAATAAATCGTTTGATAAAAGGAATATGTTTGAAATTAAAAGATAGGAATGGTATGACACAACATTTATATAAAATGTAAACATGAAAATCTTGAACATATATCTTTTTTACAAGCAAGCTTGGACAGGCGTTTGAATCATAATTATCACAGATCCTGAGTCATAAATATCACAGATCATGCAGATCTTTGAACACGAACCCAAATCTAGACTCTCGCTGTGGCAGTAAGTCAGGAGGGTCTAAAACCTTTACAAATTCCTTCTTTAATGCTATGTACTTTTCATTTTCAAGGAACCACAGTTCTTTCTTTTTCTTGTAATACTGTACCCAAAATACACTGTTCTCTATTTTGGCTATCTGCAAAATTAAACACAAAATATTTATTTATTCACATGGAATGTCACCAATCATACTAATGGTCAATTCACTCAACTATCATTATTATTCCACTTTTTGTAAATATTGACATTGGAATTAATATTTGATTGGTTGAGACTATCTTATGTGACATTGAACAAAACTTCATATTTTTATAGACGTAAAGCAGTACAGAAAACTCTTTAAGTTTTCAGTTTAAAACAACTGCTTGGTATTATCTGAAGTATTACTAGAACAAACAAATTGATTATTGCCATTCAAAAACAATAGTACAGGCATTATATAATATACAATGTACCTTTGAACAATTTAACAAAATACCGAAAAAATAAGATTT